TTAGGACGATATAAAATAATATGATAAGCCTACAGAACAACATATGTAATGTGAATTTTTTTAGAAAAAACCTCCTAAGAAATAAATTTATTTCTATAGTTCATGCTAAAGACACAAAAATTAATTATTACTCTTAATTGCACAATTAATTAAAAATCACTGTACAGTGAAATTAGGAAATAAATCTGTTCCTTGTTAATGCCCTCCCCACCAAAACGTTTCTGCTACAAAGAATTTTTCAATTTCCCAATATGAGACTTTTCTGTTTGAAAATTCCACCTAATTCAATCATTCGCTTTAGTCTTTTGTCTTTGTGTTTTTTTGCCAACATTATTCACTAAACTGGATAATTACAGTGAATATGAAGCCGGCTGGCCTCATCCCAAAGCTCCGGAACCAGAGAGCGGCGTAAAGTTCTGACAGAACGGTCAGCAGAGGTCTGGAGATGGGACAGAGAGACGTCCTTCATAGATCCGCACGCTGGTTGTTTATTCTGGAAGAGCTTCTCTATATGTATCTATCTGCTCGTCTCTCTGTAGGACACACACACACACACACACACACACATATATATATATATACACGCACTGGCAGCTGAAGAAAACGGAGGGCTTTTGAGTGAGGGCCAAGTGGTGGCTGTCAGAGGCCTCTACATGCCTCGGTGCGTAAATTAAAACCCTGCGGTGTCACTGACGCTGTCCCATCATGGGAGGACCCCGTGATGAAGCTCGAATTTTATGACCCACGTAATGTGGAACGACAACAAAGCAACGGAAAGATTCAGTAGAAAGTCTGGTTTTTGCACAGCGGACAACACCATTGTTCACAGAAAGCTGATTTTTTTTTTCTTTTAAATGTTCCCTCTGTGGAGCTATTTTCTGTTTTTCATTGGGGGACTCCAGACGCTACTTTCGGCCTAAAAGAACACAGCAATCTAAAGCTTCGTGTGAAAAAAACAAGACAAATCCCATTTGTTCTTTTTGGTCCCTTCTTCATTATGTAACCACAGGCCTGATAATAGTATCTCCATTTGAAGCTCAGGATATTGGGCGACGCAGATAAGATGCGTTTGATGGATTAGCCAGACGTGAGAAGGCGCTAAGTCTATCAGTCTCGCCGTCCGTTTCCAAGTCCCTCCTTTTGTTTGTCTCTTTAAAAAGAGATTCTCTTGGTCATTTGTAACGTCGGCACAAAGACACCCTGATGGGTAAAAATGGGCGCCTGCGCAGCAGCAGTGTGGAAACAAAGTGCACACGGTTTGGCTTTAAGACCTGGCTCCGGGTACCTATGCTCTCCGCCTGTCTGCAGCAAATATTGAGGCTGCGCTCTCAGAAACAGCTTTTCATGGAGGTAATGAAAGCCGTATGAGGCGGCCCGCGATCCAAACATGACTAATCCTGGAACCGCGCAGCTTTATCAGTACCGACAAATACAGAAGAACTGAGCGAAGGGGGAGATCCAAGGCGACATCACGTCAGACGCCATGTCCTCTTTTCTCCTCTTGGAGTTTAAACTGTTCAATAAAATAAAAAAAGGAGCGAGTTTCATACCTTAAGAAAAAGGAACCAGCTCAGATGCTTGCAGGTAAACATTATCACAAAGTTTAAAGAAAATATCTATGTTCATGCCAAGAGTTTTAAAGTTGTAGGGAAGGCATATATAAATGTCAAATCATTCTGGCTTAAACATGTATATAAATGTTCTCTTTATCAGACCATATTGTCCCAAAATTTAGAAAAATTTCTATTTAAAAAAAATCCTGTCTTAAAATCTGTTTCTTTTCCCCATTATCTTATGCAGGCCTGAACAGCTAAATTCAGCCAATCATATATCAACGGTCATCTGTCAATCAAATTTTTTCGGTCATAGCATCTTGATTTATATCTACACCAAACCAAGCTACAGCCACAAGTAAGACGGAAGATGGAACCTTCCGCCACAACAAATCCCGCCCTCTTGATAAACGACCAATCACATTCACTTTATTCACTCGTGTAAAGTCGTGCACCACTCGGGAGAATTCCGAAATGCAACGTTTGGAACAGCCGCTTCCCTACGACTTTACACAAGTGAATAAAGTGAATGTGATTGGTCGTTTATCAAGGGGGCGGGATTGTTGTGACAGAAGGTTGGCAAGCAAGTTTGGTTGTGGCCGGTTTGTAGGAAGCATCTTGCTAACCAGTTAGCAACTTAGTGCTAGTAGGTTCCCAATGGGAAATTCCATTGGGACCAAGTAGCACTAAATTGGTGACTTAGAAACGACACTGATAAGGAACGCTATGGACAGAGGAAACATGCAAGAGGAGGAGAGTTTATTGTCGAAGGTCGTGGATGAATCTCTTTCGTCTCCTTTTAATGGAGCGCTCCATTAAAAGTTAAAAGTTCTCTTTTCTGTTGCTGTTGTTCAATAAAAGTACATTTGAAGATACATTTTAAGGTGAGACCATTATACTTTTGAGTGTTGCTATACTGTTTGGTCCATTTACCGATTAAATGAGTAATTTAAAAAAATGGTTTTTTTTTTAAATGTCTTTTTTTTTGGAACCTCAAAAAAAACTAAAACAACAATAAAAAAAAAAGCAACAAAAAAACCCCCCACCCATTCTCTCCATGTAGCAAAGCATGTACAATAGTACTTGTAGTAATATTATATTAAGCATTAACCATATTTTTTAAAGGTCAGAATTAAGAATTAAGCAACAAAACAAAAAATTATTGTAATAATTGAAACACAGTGAAGATCAATACTGATCAGTCCCTCAGGTCTAATCTGGTTAGAATGTCCAAGAAGTGACTCCATATCTGGTCAAATGTAGCCAATATTTTCAGGAGTGCATCATGCCAACAGTTCGTTAATCAGAACGTTTCTTGTTTGGAGGCTCCAATCATTTCCAGTTTTTAAGTATATATATATTTTTGCTGCAGATGATGCTAAATCTGTTCCAATTTTTAGGAATACATCCATCAATTATTTCAGTAATCAATTAATTTGGCAAAGATATTTACTTTTTGCTATACAAAAAGGACAACTTCATCTTTATGTATTAATAATGAGGTTTTTCCTTCAGTAAAATGTCTGTTTTAGAATCTGAGTACCTTGACTCTGAGCAATGATTCACTTTGATTACTAAATTATTAAAATAATTGATAAATCTTTAGTGTAAAGAGGAGCATATTGTGGACAGAGGGTCTCCTGATCTGTGCTCCTGACCTCCGATCGGTGGCAACAGTGACATAAGCAAAGGGGGAATAAAAACGAGGACAAGAGAAGGGCGTCAGGTGAGGCGGCTACGGTCCAATCATCAGGTCCATGGTTACTGACAGCTTCCGCCAAACACAGTCAGACACCCTGGAATGGCGAGCTAAGAATAACGCTGTAACGCTGCCACCCAAAAGGTCAGAGTGGAGCCACCGCCTGCCCGTCCCTCTTTAAACTCTGCTTAACCCCCGACGTGTCTCGGGGAAATGAAACAGGAGCAGCTTTCAAACCTTGACGTACATCTCCCACGCTCTCAGGAATCTGACCATCAGAGGAGGGAGCTCGCCGCCGGAAAAATACAAAATACACTCCGTGATTGAAGTTTAAAAACTTCTAAACGACATTTATAAGATGCTTCATTTAGGGGCTGAAGGAGGAACCATGTAGAGAAAGCTGGTTTGCTTTGGAGTCGGTGGATGTTGGCACAGAGTGGAGTGGAGGGAGAAAAAAAACGTCTTTCCTCGAAGGAGGCACCAGGCTGTGCTCGGTACTGGGTCCGTCGTGGAACAGGAAGGGATGCTGTAGAAATGCACCCAGAATTACACACCCGCCTCAAAGGAGGGGGTCAATAATTTGCGGGGAGCTCCCCACCTTTCAGCCAAGGGAAGAATGACACCCTCCGTCTATAAAAGCAAAGCGCCGACATCGAGGATTCACACCTGACCTTCTGCTGGACAGCTGGAGCGGCGCTGCGGTAATCCGATGACGACAGCGATGGAGCTGCTCACATACGCTCTGATACAGCGCGCTAAAAAGGAAAGTTAGCATGGATGTCCTAAACAGTAACTGAATTTCACCAGAATAAGAAAAAAACACATTTTTAATTGATTTACCTGCAAAAACAAAATTTATTTTTTTCATAACTGTAAATTCCTTTAGCCAAATTTTTATTTGTAATAAACTTAATGTAAAAATATTTTTGCTTTACAAATCGGTGCTATTTAGTCTGGATAAAAAATATTCTAAATAAAAAAAAAAATAGGTGAAAAAAAAGTGAATTCTGGAATTCTTATTTCTATTAGTGAATAAGTTCCTCCAAATGAATTCAATACATGCTGCCATATTTTATTCATTTCCCGTACGCGTCTGGAAAAATTAAAACATGGAAACAACAAGGATGCTTTGATCTGTACAATCCGGCACCTAGCGAGCGGAGCATCCGGGCGTCACAAGGTAGAGCCCCGGGTCGGGTGGATGTGTGTGTGATACGCTGAGGCGACCTGGGGGCTGCAGGCTGGCTGCCTCCTAAACTACCTGGGACTGGGCCAGACCACCACTCGCACACTAACAGACACCAACGCACGCTCGCAGGGATTATACACACACACACACACACACACCATGGCGTGCACGAGGGATAAACCCGCTTGCAGATGCTTTTGTTTACCGACGGCGCCGCAAAACATGCACGTTTGGATTTAGTTAAATTTGCACACAAATGCTTCTACAAATGTACCAAAGCAAACATATCTCTTAGTAAACACAGATTTTAAGCCGGGGTCTTTCAAACTGTCAGAATCTCTTTAAAGAAAAAGAAACATCAATCAGCAAAGAAGCCTTTCTGTTTGTTTTTTCTTCTCCGGAGGGACTGTGATGCACTAGCGGAGCCTTTAAATATTAAAAACCTGGCATTTGTTTTGCCATCAGGACCATTTGGCGAACATTGCAGGGTGGGAGGTTATATCCTGACACCCGTACTGGTTTCTGATCTGTCTTCTCAATGCGTGGGGGGGAAACGTACCTGGTGTGTGGACGAAGTAGGCCAGGTAGAGATCCAGCTCCTTTACCGTCACCCCGATGTGGTGCGGCTGGACACACAGGCCGTGGTTGGAGCACTGGGGCGACTTGACCAGCCGCTCCCCGTCCGTGCTCTCCAGGGGGCTGCCCTTGAACAGGATGACCATCACCAGGTCCAGCCGCCACACCTTGTCGGCCTGGCGGAGGCAGTCGATGCGGCGGATCTTCCCCTTCTGGTCGGGGTTGGACAGCACGCAGCAGGGGGGCTTCTTTCCCGTGATAGTGAGGACGAAGTCCTCGCGGAACTCCGGCCTGATGTCCTTGCGGAGCTTGGCCAGCAGGCGCGAGGCCCACTTCTGCTTGATCTCCGGCTTCTCGCCCAGCAGCTCGTCCTTGACCGCGCGCTCCTCGTCCTTGCTCATCCTCTTCTCGTGCTTCTTGAAGTACTTGCGTTTGCGGGCCTGCAGGTTAAACCAGGTGTAGGAAAAGGCACGGACATGGGGGAGGAGGGCCTCGATGAAGGGGTGAAATTCATCCTGAGGACAGAAAAACACGTTTTAACCAACAAATACTACAAAAAAACATAATAAGAAACTATACACAGCTTTCAACTATAACCATTGATATAATCTACATACTTTATACATTTAATGCTCAGTAAAGGTTAAACTCTGACAAAAATACCAATTTAAATTTAGTAACAAATCCTAAATTAGGATCTAAACTGAGAAACAGCTTAAATCTGGACTTTAGTAACATTTAAGGACGTAGTTACGTTTCTACAGTTAGAACAAACAATAAAAATTCACTCTTTTTCTTAATTAGCTTAGCGATAATAAAGTGAAGTTTGTTAGCTAGTACTGAAACAGAGGTTCCTAATGTACAACTTGATACATTTTTATCAATTTCACAAGTTTGCTCCTTAATTAATAAATAATTCAACCTTAATAAAAATCTAATTCTTATTTTTGTTTTAGTTTTTTTTTTTTTTTAAACAAGGGAAAAACTAATATGCTAGCATGTCTGACCTTAGCCCTAGCGCTAAATGAGCTAAAATGCATATAAAGTTAGATTCTCTCTGAACAGCGACTTCCTGGACATTGTGGCTTTTACTGAGCCGATGGTGTCGTTCACAATAAAACACAGAAAAACAAAAACACAGA